ATCAATCACGTACTGTACCGGGTGATTTTCTATAATGTCCACCCACCTTAACTTATTTATTTGGGGAAGCAAAATTTTGTAAAAAATGTGAGCTTCTACGATTTGCACAAGTATTTGAAAATTGATCAAACATATTAGTATACAGGGTAGATCAAAGAGTATACTTCTTTTAAATAGGACACCCTATATGTATCTGAATTAATTTATTGATTCTTAGTTTAATTCTAAGAATTTTTTATATAATTCATATACTCAAAGTCAACGGTCTTTGAAATATTAGCAAATAAAATTTGAAATTTAAAATTTAAAAGTTTTTGTCTAGTAGAAATGGATAAATTAATAAAAGTTACAGTGGCAGTATCTTCAGCAAGTAATTCAAAAAGTAGCGCTGCAAATTGTTTTTAAAAATGCCATACTCGCAAAGAGAAAAACAAATAATTTTAAATTTGTTTATTCGAAACAACTATAATGCCACAACAATGTAACAAGACTTAACTTGAGAAAATCCAAGAATGCACGCTCCTGGCAAAAAACAATTAAAAGGATATTCGAAAAATTTCAACAATCATCAAGTCTGAACAGAAAAAAAAGAGTGATGCAAGATAACGAAGATGCGCATATATAGGGTGGGCCATTAGTGTGAGAAAGTAAAATAACTCCCTTGTTACTCATAATACAGAAAAAATGTTTATATAAAAGTTATACAGAATCAAGAAACCTAAACTACAAAATTAATTTGATACATACAGGGTGATGAGTAAAAACGGGACACGCCAAATAATACATTTTTTAAATGGAACACCCTGTTTATTTTTAAACATATGGATTTCCGAGAAAATTCTATATATGGCAATATAAACAGTTTATCATTTTAGTGCGGGGTTGCCAAGTAATGTAGAAAATTCTTCGAATTTTGGAAAAAACATGATCTCGAAGAAGTTGTATTAACTTTCAACTACTAACACTTGGAGCAAAAAATTGATAGAGTTATAGGCAAACGTTAGGCAAAGACTCCTATATTAGCTAATATCGATATTTTATACAGGTCATTTTTTATAATACGATCATTTTAAGAAAGTTCAAACTTGATTTTCTAAAATTTTTCAAATGGAACACCCTGTATTTTATTGTTCTATTTTATTCACCTATCAGTCCACTTCAACTTTTATTAAGTATGTTCTACACCAAAAGTTGTTAGTTTTTAGGATATAGCAACATTTCTGAAAAAACTTAATTTTTATTATTTTATAGAATACCACAAATAAATATTAACTAATAAAATTAACTCAAAATGAAATGATAAATTATGAACTGACAAGTGACACAATGTGACAGTTTTTTCCAAAAGCCATTTCATACGACCGATAATAGTAAAAATTAGGTTTTTCCAGAAATGTTGCTAGTCTTAAAAACTAACAACTTTTGGTGTAGAACATACTTAATAAAAGTTGAAATGGACTGATGGGTGAATAAAATAGAACAATAAAATACAGGGTGTTCCATTTGAAAAATTTTAGAAAATCAAGTTTGAACTTTCTTAAAATGATCGTATTATAAAAAATGCTCTGTATAAAATATCGATATTAGCTAATATAGGAGTCTTTACATAATATTTGCCTGTCAACTCTGTCAAATATTTTTGCTCCAAGTGTTAGTAGTTGAAAGTTAATACAACTTCTTCGAGGTAATATTTTTTCCAAAATTCGAAGAATTTTCAATATAACTTGGCAACCCCGCACTAAAATGTTAAACTGTTTATATTGCCATATATAGAATTTTCTCGGAAATCTATACGTTTAAAAATATACAGGGTGTTCCATTTAAAAAATGTAATATTTGGCGTGTCCCGTTTTTACTCATCACCCTGTATGCATCAAATTAATTTTGTAGTTTAGGTTTCTTGATTCTGTATAACTTTTATATAAACTTTTTTTCTGTATTATGAACAACAACTTTCTCACACTAATGGCCCACCCTGTATATTACTTTCTCTGCAAGAAAATTCAAATATAGGTATTTCAAAAAGTTTACAAGAATGGAATGTCCGTGATACGTCCTATTCTAAAGTTCAGAAGACTCTTGAGAAAGCTGGTTACAAGATTTTCAAGTTCAGACCCATTCCAAAATTGACACAGACGCATAGAGAAAAGAGAGTAGAATTTTGCCTCCTTATGATGAAAAGAATTAATGATGATCCTAACTTTTTAAGAAATATCCTGTGGACGGACGAGTCTACCTTTGCTACGAATGGCACGATAAATAGAAAAAATACCAGGTATTGGGCCACAGAAAACCCATTCTGTTACAGAGAATTTAGATTTCAAGGGCCAGTCCGTTAATATTTGGTGCGGACTAATGGATAACAAAATTATTGGGCCCTATTTTTTTATCAAAACTTGAATGGGGACTCATGTTTACACTTTCTCGAAAAGACGTAGAAGATTTTCTAGATGAATTACCTTTGCAGCATTTTGAACATATTATGTTCCAGCAAGACGGAGCTCTACCCCATAGTACCTTAAGAGTGAGAAACCACTTAAACCAACGTTTTAACATATGGATTGGTAGAAGAAATGCACCAATTAACTGGCCAGCCAACAGTCCAGATCTTACTCCAATAGATGCGCTTCTATGGGGATATTTAAAAAATCGCATTTACCAAAATCATTGAAAATATAGAACAACTGGCAACTACGAGTAATTAGAAACGAAATAAATGAACTAAATGAAAATCATTCAAATTTTGTAAGAGGATCTTTGGAGAAACTTCGAAGAACATTACTAAAATATATCGGGCAAGATGGAGGTCCTGTGGAGCAACTCAATATTTAAGAACATTAATTTTTATATAATACAGTCTGACACCGGACCGGTCTAACAGTTGCAAGGCCAAGGAACTGACGCGGGACGCACTAGGGTTCCAGGAAAGGTAAACGACAGATTGGCACCAGGACCAAATACATATACATGCGAGTGACTCCATACCGAGGACTCTTCAACGAACGCTCGCCTCGACAACATTTCTTTTCACTAAACTTGGTTTTCAATAAAAATAATTTGAGAGAGTTTTATTTTGCTGCACACCGAAAGCAGCCCTCAGGATTAAACGAAGAATCAATAAATTAATCCAGATATAGGGCGTCCCATATAAAAAAAGTATACTTTTTGATCTACCCAGTATACTAATATGTTTGATCAATTTTCAAATATCTGTCCAAAAAGTACAGGAAAAATCTTAGAAGCTCACATTTTTTACAAAATTTTACTGCCCAAATAAATAAGTTAAGGTTATAGAAAATCACCCGATATATAAAAAAATTGCGAAACACATTTCTCCAGAAAATTTATATACAGTACGCACTTAAAGTATGGAATAAATTCAGTAAAATCGAAACAATTTTTTTTTGGAAAAATCCTCGAACAGGTAGATTTTTAATTTAAAAAATACATATTTTTTCCTAGAAGATGGATCGGCAGACGAGGACCGATAGAATGACCCGCGAGATCCCCAGATCTTACACCCCTGGACTATTTCTTATGGGGCTACTTAAAGTCCAAAGTGTACGTTAATAGACCACATAATTTAGAAGAAATCCAAAATTGTATTAGGTATTAGATGAAATACACAGAGTTACCCCAGAAATAATTCATAATGTGCAAGAAGAATTTCTACACAGACTTGCGTATTGTCAAGAAGTCGGTGGGTGGCAATTCGAACACTTAATTTAGGTGGAAAACTTAATGAATTGTATTTGCTTGACATAGGAATCATTATTTTTTTAATGTATAAATTTACGTTTTCTAACATTCAATCGTCATTTACTCGAAAACTTTCCTATGTAAGATGGCAATAATTTAATACTGTCGGATCTACAATGAAACGATCTTTCAGAATCAAGAAAAAAAATAGGGGGTTGCTATTTAAAAAAAATGTCGATGACGTCATTACTCGAAAACAAATGACGGTTGAAAATCGCCTTTTATGCTAAAATATGTATTTTTTAAATTAAAAATCGACCTGTTCGAGGATTTTTCCCCAAAAAAATTTGTTTCGTTTTTACTGAATTTATTCCATACATTAGGCGCGTATTGTATGTTTATAGAAACTCCAAATCGACGTTGCAAAACAAATAAGCAAATAATTACACAATATTAAATGTATGACAAATGTTTGATGATTGAGTTTTTCTACTCTACATGCATCGAACTCACCACAGAACTATATTATTGATATTGGATCAGCTTTTTGTTCTTTCCTCGGGTGATATAAACAATTTTATATTCAAATACATACAGCAACAGAATGGCTTTGAAAGTTGCATAATTTAATTATAAAAAACAGGAATTGTAGATATGAGGTTACAATTTTTAAATTTTCCTTGACTGTACAAACGTCTGATGTAATGATTTACATAATTGTTTACATAATTATTTAACAGTAACAAAATAAATAAAATAACCAAATCATGCATATCAAAGAAAAAGTTATTTTAATATTAATAACTGTACCAGTATATTTTCTGTGTATAAATATGGCAAATAAATTAATTATGATTGTCTTTTCTTATCATCAATTTTAATTAATTAATACATGTTTTATGAAGTTAACAGCGAATCATGAAATAGTTTTCAGTAGTCCATAAATAGTTAATGGTATGTTACTATCAATCACCTGCTAACCAAAACATGTGGAAGACACATAGAAAGATAATATTTTTTATATTTTACCTAGTTTAATTGAATCCTCACGTGAACATATGGTTCGCAATGGCATATTTCATTTAAATCTAGCCTTTCTACGAATCATTCAAGGCCACATATGTTCTCGATGGAACTGGTGTTCTTAGCAAACATTTTTACTAACAAGATAAGCATAAACTTGATTATTTGCCGAGCTACACAACTGTTGGTATTGAATGTCTGCTTGAAAACTCTACTGAAACTTAACCTAATTAATAGCGAAGCAGTTTATAATCTACATTATCTTTTACGTGACATACCTGTTAGAATAATACGTGGAACACTGGTTTTCTGTCACGGGGGACACACTAAATCATTACACTATCAGGAGCCAGGGGGGAAAATCACCTCAACACTTCAAAAAGACTCCTTCGAGATGTAAATCATATAAAGGTAGGTCACGAAACTGAGGACTGCCGTGAGCGCGAGAAATTTCAAATAGATCAACAATAAACGTCGAATTTTGCCGTTTAGGAAAGGTCCAGGGCCAGAGCTTCGTCTAAGAAGTCGTTCACGGGCAGAACGGAAAAGGGTAGAATGGCGGACAACCCGATTTTTACCAATTTAAGTCCGACGAGCACTCTGGGGTGCTTGCTGATTCTCTTCACGAGGGCACTGACCAAAGGGCGCAGATTCTGACTCATTGGATACGCGCGACGGGGATGAACGTTGTCGGTGGTCGGTGAGTGTCGCGGTTGTCGTCGATCTCGAGGTGGTAAACAGGTACGCAACAATCGCCTGACAACAAATGACTGCCGCTCGCTAGGTATCGCCGCGAGATCCGTGCCTTTTCGCGATGGTGTACTAGCCGCGACTTTCTACGCGAAGTGTTGTAAGATGCGGCGCTATCTGCGGCCGCGCCGTTTTTGTGGAGACCGTTTGCAAGGTGACTTTCTAAGGTGCCATTTGTCGGGTTCTGGTCATTGCTAGCTGCCGGCCAGCGGCGACTTGGGCACCTGTTTAAAATATATATGTAGACAAAACATTTTTGTAAATCATTTTTTTAATAAAAAATGTTTTCCGTGCTAATTTAAAAGATTAACAAGTAATAGGCACTCCTTTAGTCTATTACTAAGTTAAATTCTTTAAAAAATAATTATACTCAGTGAAAACGATGAACTAAACGGCAAATCAATGTGAAAATGACTACTATTTATTAAATTTATTAAATTAATTCAAATTAATAGATACTAATAGAAAATGTCATATGTATGGCGCTCTCTAGTGAGGAATATATAAACCAGGGTGGTATGCACAATTAACTCCTCTTTGGGCATAACAGAATTCTGTACGAAGGGGACTACATTATCTTCATAGGCGCCGGGACTTCTAAATTGCTGTGGGTGTCCAGATCGTAAATAACAATAAAAATTGAGGAACATTTTTATTTATAAAAATTATAAGAAAACCGATGCAAGTGGACGTCTGGGATGCTTCCGTGCGTCATGGTTGCTCGACGACCAAAAATTGGAAACATCGGTGATTTTCCAGGTTTCGTCATATGCGTGCAGCGGTCGTCGACGCTGGCATTGCTTATGGAGTATCGCACGAAAATTTCGAAACGTCCGCGAAATTTTGTATTTTCCTCTCAGGGTGGCTACGAGTGCTGTAGCAGTCTGCCATGTGTATAATATTAAGAATATTAATTTGGAGCGTTCTGACAGATGGATTCAAAACATAGGCGACAAATGCTCACGTGTTATTGGTTCTTGTTTGTAAACTTTGTCTTTGAGATAACCCCACAAAAAGAAATCTGGCGAAGTAAGATCTAGTGTACTAGCAGGCCAATTTACCGGTCCAGCTTTACGAATCCAATGATCACTGAAGTCACGATCAAGTACTTCACGTGCTACCAACCCGAATAGTATGCTGGACCACCATTATGTTGAAACCACATGTTTTGTAGCACTTCTAAACTCAAGTCTTCAAGTAATGTTGGCAGTTCATTTTCCAAATTGTTTGCATAGGTTCACAGTAGAAAAAATCGAAAAAATTGAATTTTGTGGATTACAGCGACATCTACCATGAATGCAAAAAAGGTTTCTGACAAATCTTACGTATTTTTAGCTGTAGAATCCGAATATGCACTAAAAATAAGGACACCTATTTAAGATTTCAAAGTTACCCCCGCCCCACCTACAACGAGAAAGGCAGGGGGACTAATAATTAAGTTGTGATTATTCAGACCGCAGGAAACTGTATTATCTCCATATACGTGGAATATTGGACCGCCCTGTATTCGCGAAACAGACAAAGAACCGTTTTAAAATACCATCCAATAAAATGAAATTTCGTGCTTCGCGGTGTGTGATAATTCGGGCACATTTTCGAGTACCCACAAAGAGCAATAGCCGACCACTTACTATCGTCAAACCCGAAAATTCGTCGACAAAACATGAAACGTCCCCATTGTGCTCGAAAAACGGTAGCTTTCTGAGCCATTTGGTCGCGACAAAACACCGAAACAGCGTGAAATTATGTGGGCACATTTAAATAAATAAAATATCCACCACGGCATAAAATAAGCTTTAACTCTGCTGCACGACGTAATTAATTAACATATCTTTGGAATACCGCCGGGGATTTTTGCGACAAACCAACGATAAAGGCACACACATGACAGTGGCGCACCAAAAACTGTTTCTAGTGGTGCTAGAATAGAAAAAAAATAGTATAAATGGATAAAAATATATGAAGTGGTTTAGTGAAATAGTGAATTTCTTTATTCAACGAGATGTCTGAATAATATTTGAAACTTTAGACGTGATGTAGGCAGGTGTTCATTATCTACTTTAGTCGCATCTTCCGAGAAACTTAAATTTATATTTCATATTTGACTTTGTCGCAATTAACATGTTTGGAAGTGAATACAGAAAGTAGGCTGTGGAAATATGGAGCACTGTTGCTACATTCAGCACATTTTCGTCAGATTGTGATCTAATTTTTTACCATAGCTCTTTCTTAATAGAACATAAAAAAATTTTATATTTAAACGCACTTTATTGACAAAAAATTTACTTTCAATTTGCGATTTAAAAAAACTAATTTCACATTAAGAAAATACAAATTGGCCCTTTTAAAATCGTTCCCGTTGATTCGACGCCTATGTATTATTTAGTGATGAAGTCAGTTTAGAGAAGTTTATATAGTCAACGTCTAGAGGGCAGAACGATCGAATCATTAAATCTTATATTATACATTATTTCTATTCTTTGTCTTATTTTCTACTAATTTTTCTAATTCTGCAATTTCCACAGTAACAATTTGGTTAATAAATTGCTGTTTCGGTGGCATACACACGCGTATTCTTGAATCGATTTCGTCTTCGGAAAATGGGTCGGTGTACGAATAATTACTTTTTTCCGACAGGTTAGAGCCATTCGTAAATGCCGTATTTTATACGTAAACTGATTAACATGACCCTATGCCTACTTCAAATTTTATTGCAGTCGCTGGTTAGCAAAATATGGATGAAATAACAAATATCGATATTGGGGCATTAGAAGAAGCTGAATTATTATTTAATAATACCCCAATTCGAAGATTTCATGAAACGGTTAATCCTTTTGAAAAACTATATAGTTTTTTATATTTAATCATAATTTTAAAATAAATATTTGCTTGAAGTTAGTTATCATTTTTCTTATAAATTGTTTGTTTAGATCAATTTGAGTCCTACAATAGTTTAAACTATTCAGCTATATACAGAGTGTTAGAAGTTTGACTGCCTTAATTTTAACAGACGATAGAATACATTAAAATAAACCAAAAAAACCTTATACAGGTTCGGAAAGTGCCGATGGTCCATCTGTCGTTACGTGAGAGCGATAAAGTAAGACATAGAAATCCATGCGATAGAGAAGAATGGCTATAATGAAGGCGTCTCATAGTCACCGCCCGTTTCGCCCTTCCACAAATAAGATCCACTTCCACAAACGTCAAAATTTTGCCCCCTTAAATGTTGCACTCTTCGAATTATTATTTCAAACTGAATATAAACAGTTTCAACTAAATTGTACTTATAATGCGCTTCAGCAAAAATTCTCTAAATAATATATGTTGAACGAGGAAAGCATCGATATAGTTCCAATTTATGCAGTTCTCCAAGAAAATATGAACTATTTGAAACAACCACGTCAGAAGAGCTTGTTGTAATTTTTATTGATCGGCGAGCTTACGATAGAAGGAAAATAAATGGAGAAATATTTAAATTATAAAAACCATTTGGAAAATTGTATCTATCAATATTGTTCAAATATGTATAATAAAATATCTTTCATTTTAAATTTCTAATTACTACATTACCCCTTTAATACCTCCAATTTGTACAGAAATTCCATACAAACAAATAGTGCTTATGCTCTTATTCGTTAATAATAATTAATTAAAATTACTCGTACAAATATGTATTGTACGGAGTACCTTGCTGGGATCACTTAAAAAAAAAGTTTCATACAAAAGTTGACCTTGAAAATGACCTAGAACTTGAGTACATACATTCGTATGTATGTACAAAGTGATAAATTTATCAAACTGGAGTGTTTCAAGATGTTTACAAAGAAATTGTCGGATGTGGATACTCATAGATCAATTACACAGCTATTAGATATCCATCTGACGAACAATGTGTAAATAAAAAAATGATACTTCATTTCTAGGGAATAAAAAATAAATATATTGTAACGAATTTGAAATGTTCATGTAGAAACTCATATGAAAATATTGCCTGACCGAACTTAAAGTCGTATACAAATTTTAATTATTATTATTAATTTATAGAATTGTATATAAAAATAAAAGGACATTTGTTAAAAATGTTTTAGTTGTAAGTAGTGTTGTGAAAAAGTGATTGAAAAGGACATCCAAAGACTGAAAAATTCTGTGTATGGACCTTAAGCAAAGCTAGGGACAGAATATTCAGGAAGGATGAGACAAACAAAAAATTATTGATTAGGCAGCTCCCGAAAAATTAAAAATAAAGCAAGAAAAAACAGTTCAAGAAAGAAAATTAACCAATCACCAGATAAATCTACGTTTGCCAGAGTCCAGAGAAACTTATTTTGTCATCCCATCAAAATTTTCCGCTACCAGCAGTATAAAACAGTTCCAAAACAGTTTCCAGTGACCAAATAAATAGTCTGCAAGGCCTCTACGTAGTTTCCAGCAAAGAAAACTTCAAAAATTTTACAACGTACAAACACAGTGCACTACAATATTACTAGATATCACCAATAAATCATGCTTTCTCTCGCATCAAATCTTTGCAAAGTATAAATAACAAACCACAGGACTTATTTGTGCAGAAATAAGCATAATCCAATTACTTAATTATTGTGAAATACAAAACGTTAGACAGATTTTTACATTGATGGGACAGTATAACTAGCGCCTTCTAGACGTGACCACAACACTGTTTGCATATTCGTATTTGCCTCGTCAAAAAACGTAAAACTACAAATTTTCAAAACAATCGGTTCACACATACTTAAAATATAGATAAAAATCGAAAATATTTTTTCAAGTTTAACACCCTGTAGAACGAAAAGGAGCAACAATTGATTAAGGCATGTTTGGCTCAATCACTATATTTTGAGGTTAACAATCTGCCATTAAGCTGTGTACCATTAGTAATGACTCACCGGTTATACCGAAAGTCGCCATCAACTTGCTTATTTTAAATGGACCACCCTATATATTATTGTAATTTTGGATTCTACGTGTTATTTTAGGTGGACTTTTACGAAGTTTCCCTATTCTTAAAATTAACCTTTTTCGAAATATTTATTTTTTTTCAAAAAAATGGAGAGAAACAGTGACTAGCTTCAAACTATGTGTATT